GGAAGGAAGGAAGGAAGGAAGGAAGGAAGGAAGGAAGGAAGGAAGGAAGGAAGGAACCCACCAGCTTATCAGTGCTTCCTAATCCCGAAGATGACAAAGGCTGACTGGATATAGTTCCTTGTTTTAAAGTTGCATCCATGTTTGATTCCTTCCAGTCTGTACTGGAGATCTGTGGTGGCTTTACCACAGCAGTTTGTTTAAGTGCAGGCCAAGTTCCATCATTAGCTTGAAAGAAAGGAAAATGTTTTATTAAAAAGATGCTCGGGGAATAAATCAAATAGGTGAACAATTATTTATATTAAGGAAATCAAAGAAAGATAAACAAGCCAAAAAAGTGCATTCTTGATCTTACAAATTGTAGAAACAGTTCTGAATTCCCTTGGTCTTTCTGGAAAGCAGATCAGTCACACCAAATGGCAAAGAAAAATAAAGTCTTCTTCAAGTCAAGCTTGATTTTTTGGAAACAATGTGAAAGTGCTTTGTCACTGATGACTTCTAGGATATTTCTTCAATTTCTTAGTCTAGCCTATACCCTAAGAATTTCTGATGGTGACCTCTATTCTAGTAATAACCAGGGCTTAACCTTTTGAGGTTGACCATCAGTTGCCACTTAGCTGGGCACCATAGGGAAAACTATTTTTCAGATTGAAGAGGCTTTAGAAGTACTTTGTGATATGGGTATTTTACTCCTGTTTTAATTATTTTTTAAAAATCCCCAAACACTATTCTAACCAAGGAGGCATTCTAGGGATTAGGAAAATATTAGTTTAAAAAGTTCCTAAAATTACATCATTTGTTTCGTTTGAACTCAGCAAAGAAGTTTGAAGGTTCAGACAGAGGATTTTAAAAAGGAAAATACAAGAAAAATGGGATGAACAACATGTGCATTCATGCTTCTTTGGAAACAGAGGTTATCTACAGTATTTTGAATTTATTTTAAATAAAATTTGATGACTTTTCTAAATGGAAAGTGGTACCACAGTTAATGTTAACAAACTATTCATTTTGTTCTAGATATGTAAAGAGAGCATTAAGATTTGCTAATCACTGAAATGTCTGAATGTACTGTCTTTTCCTTCTTCCTCCCAAACACTTCTATACACATTTATCTAAAATACATAGGTGGATATGACAAAACTTCAAAACATTCCAGAACGTGCATCTGTATATGAGAATTCAGATGCCCATATTAAAATTGGGATTTCTTAGCTTGTCAGTGTTCTACAAATTCACAATGCAGGATTTTAGAAAGGATAGGTGCCGAATGGATATTGCGAACAGCAGATTGAAGAGAGGCAGATGACAGAATATGATTTGTTATAATGTCTAAATCAGAAATCTTCCAAGGACCTGGAGGTTTTTTCACATAACCCATAGTTTGCATATACAGGAAATAACTAGATCCAGTCACAAAGAAAAAGAAGGGAAAGAACAGGATATGGAGAAAAATTATAAAATAAATGACAAGTGACATGTAGCCCGAAAAAAAAAAAAAAAAACCCAACTCCCCAAGAAAATACAGGAAATAAGAAATAAGAAAATAAAAATGTGATATTTGGCATATTCTGAATGAGCCTGTTTTATATACCTGGTATAGAATTTATTTAGAAATTGTTTTCAATTTAATTTCCTAGAGGAAAAAAGGTTAGCTTTCAAAAAGAAGCACATATGTAATTATCATATACATGACTAAACAGCACTCTTACTGTTTTCACATTTTCAGAAATAATATTCATGTTATAACTTTTTAATTCTATGCTTCTTGCAATAAACTTTTAATAGCAGAGTTGCATAATACTGTATAACTAGAAAAATCTACTGAGATATGAAACAGAAATATGAGATGGAATTATTTATCTCAAGATTATTAAAACGAAAGAAAGTCACAGGGGCCATTTTGTTTTATTTCAATATTTCATCCTGAGATAGAGGGCCATCTTAAAGAAAAATTCCTTTATCACCCCCCTCTGCATAAAACAGGTAGAATCAATAAGAGCTACTTACCAGATTTAGACCTTCCATGAGTTGTGCTAGTAGTAATTGTGAGGGACTGTGGTTTTACTGGATCAACTGGTACAGCATAGTTGTTGGAGCTAGGAACCTGAATGTATGGCCCAACTGCTGCAACTCTGCCTGAAGCATTCAATGATGACTGTGGTGAGGAAGTTCCATTTATCCGATTTAACTAAAAAACAACAAACCGAAGTTGTGTTAACACGCTTTTTAAAAAAGAAATAAAAGCTAGAATTGCTTCATTACAGCTCAAAACTAATTAGTGCCATCTACCCCACTTCCTTCATCTCAAGCCTACTGGACATTTGTGCTTTAACACTTATTAATGCCTCCAAACCCCTTCATGGATCACTGCCTTGTCATGGTGAAGAGGCTTGTGTAACCCAGTGAAGCCATGAGCTATGCTGTGCAGGGCCACCCAAGATGGACAGGTCATGACAGAGAGTTCTGACAAAATGTGATCCACTGGAGAAGGAAATGGCAGCCCATTCCAGTATCCTTGCCAAAAAAAACCCATGGACAATGTCAAAAGGCTAAAAGATATGACGCCGGAAAATGAGCCCCTCAGGTCAGAAGGTGTTCAATATGCTACTGGGAAAGAGCGGACGGCAATTCCAAGTAGCTCCAGAAAGAGTGAAGCAGCTGGGCCAAAGCTGAAAGAACATTCAGCTGTGGATGTATCTGGAAGCGAAAAGAAGGTCCGATGCCGTAAAGAACAACATTGTATAGGAACCTGGAACGTAAGATCTATGAACCAAGGCAAGCTGGGTGTGGTCAAACATGAGATGACAAGATTGAACATCGACATCTTG